AGTCCTAGGCGAACAGTCATCAGTCGCGCGCTGATGCCTGTTGGTTCACTCACAAGCTGGCAATGGAGGCGATCGGATACTGCAAATCCGACCCCATGTTCACGTGGTGCTGAGGCGGCGTTCCCCACCCAGTAGAATGTGTAGCCAGCACCTGCTTCATGCAACTTACCTTGCTCAGCGAGCCGGGTTTCACTGAGCGCCGCAATATTGATGTGGTAGCGCGCCAGTTCCATCGCGACCAGTGCAGTGCGTCGCTCGGGGCGCTCACCCGAGTTCCGGTCCAGTAGTGTGCGCACGTTCCAGCACCCGATGCTGAGTGCTTTGCGCGCAGGCATACGATTGCATTGGTGGGCAATTGCACGCGTGGTGTCGGTTGTGCATCGGAGGTTTGCTTGAGGGACTCCACCCGGAGCCTTTGGCTCAATAGCCTGACCCACAAGGCAGTGGGTGGTTTGGAGGTTTGCTTGAAGGACTCCTTTCGGAGCCTGACCCACAAGGCAGTGGGGCGCAAATCCAGCCCGGGAATGTGATTGCAGTGACAGATGGGGATCTGCTTGATGGCCGTCACACGCAGCTTTGTGGTACTGTTACGATTCATAAATGTTTTGCGACTGTAGTAGGATGCGCACCTGCGACCACGGCCAGAAGCAGGTGGGTTTTGGCGGGTTTGCACCAATTTACCAGGGGCTGCTTGGCTTGAGGCGGGCAGTAGCAAACCATTGAACACCCGGAGGTGTCTTCCTACCGTCAGAGACAATGCGTGGCGCTCGTGCTCTACGCCAATCGAACTGTGAGCTTATAACCTGTAAACCTGTTGTCTCCCATGGCTAGGTTTTACGGGAAGTGGGCCATCGACCACTTCCTAACCTCCGAAGAAATGGACTAGGATACTGCCAGGGCGCCCAATCCTGACAGGAGAACGACGGATCCTCAGCCAAAGCCTTTGCTTAAATGTACACCCGAAAGGCAGCGGATCTAGTACATGGTCAGGTCACTGACACATGCCGATTGGTGTCCTGGATCTTAGCAGGGAGAAGGGCGCAACTCAACTCCCACCAACGAGGAGGCGTCCAGGACGTGAGCCAATGTCACAACAGTGGCAGCAGTGCGTAGACCATCTGTCAGGATCTAGCCACCACCAGCCTCAGCACACCAAACATATATATATATATATATATATATATATATATATATATATCGTCAGGTTGCCCAATTTCTCCATTTTTTGTTCGACTTCTTGGTGTACTCCCTTGCGGAATCTCACCATGCAGGTGTTGGGTTTGTTTGGTGAAAACTAGTTTATCTTGATTATGCCTATAATATTGTCTTGCTTTTTACCTTTGTTGTAATAGTCCAATCTAGTCTGCATAACCTCTCTAGAGTTGTCCTATTACTTAGTATACGATGCGCATCTTTATTTTGCGGTGTTGTTGCAGGACTACCAGCCACTTGATGACCCATTGATCGATGATAGGGAGGAGCTCGAGGTTGTTGATCTCTTCACTTCCTTTGGCAGTTGCGTCAGTAGTAATGACCTATAAGCACTGAAGTCACTTCGCATAATGTAAAAGGCAGAACTGTCTTCTCGAATCTACGACGTCTGTGGCGTCGGTAAGGTTTTTGCTTTGGTCTGACCGACCGTACATACAAGGCAGCAGTGAGTTCCATTTCACTTTATAAGCGTGAGACTTAGCGGCTTCGATCTAAAGACCTGCAGCCTCTTCAAGTCTTTGATCATAGCTGTCTGCGAATCATTGCTGTTGTCGGATGGCGCCAGCGTGTCCGAAACGATGACATGCCTAGGCGAGGGCTAGGCAGTGATGATCAGGCTAGTTCCTTATCGCAGCATGCTGCATATCAACATATCAGCCTGAACAAGATGATAAAAACACGAGCTCGCACCATTTCGTGTTATATGATCACTTGCAGACCAACAACACATATAAGTCACGTGAACGAAGAAAACGATATTTTTGAATTTAGTAGAAAAGAAAGTACAGCGATACAAATCAGTAGGTAAATGAGCTGTGGTAAAGGTAACGAACTCCAAAGAATCTTTAAAGCTACTGTCAGTTGCTTCCGTACACAGAGAGGAGGACGGCATCGATTAAGTGTCATAACCTCGACAAACTTCAGCACCCTGGCTTTTTTATTTCGGTAGAAAACCGTAAACCTTGATTCAGGGTCACTTGATGACCTGTACCGGTTAGGTATTTAGCGATGAATGACGCCGACAATTTGCCTAGCTGCTCCTTCTCCGGTTGGTTGTTGCACCGTTATCTTAGCATTCCGCTTCGATATGTGCTCTCCTATCTGCTTCCCCAGACAATAATTTGTTCTGCCAATGTAACTACTTCCGCAGCCATAGATGAATTGGCAAAGGCTATGTGTTATCACGGAGACCGGTTGAGTACGTTCGACTGTAGAGACCTGTAGCTTTTGGTCGTTCATATAGGACAGAGTTCGGCGTTGAATATAAGGCAAGTAGCTGTGTTTACTAGTCTTTCAAGTTGAACTTTCCCGACATTACTGCAAGTAGACAAGCATTTCGGGTAAGGTAAGTACTCTTGGGTTGTTTTCTTTTGGGTGAGTATGGAATCCGATGAATGTTTCCGGATGTCCATTGTCTGATTTTACACTGAATGAGTTGCGTTGACTTTGACACCTACGTTTCCCGGTCATCACTTGCAGAGGTGGGCCTTGTTTTGTTTCCCAGAGGTAAAATGGCAAAAGGCTCGACGTAGGCAAAAGTTAACGTGGCAGTGTGAAATGAAATTACTGCCAACCAATCTCGTTGCCATAGGTCCGTCTCGTCTTCCAGGCCGGAGTCCACGTGTCTCGCCTTTTGCTTGGCTTGTGATATTACAGGACAAGGCTCGCAGCCGACACCATTGGCTTGTTTTTGTCGTCTCCTAGTCGGACTGTTTGCTTAAAGTTTGTTTGGTGCTGAATTATTTGCGAGTTAATGGCTGATTAAGACCCTGGGCATTGAAAGCCGCAAGGAAGCTGTCTCGCCGATTCCGCCTTATATTTGCACGCTAGCCAGCTTTTTGGGACGCTAGGTTGACGACACAATGTGTAATCGTTTTGACTTCGTATGTTTGTTTGGGGCCTTAAGATTTTGCGCAATTCCCTCCTTTCACTCTTTCTTGTTTCTCCCTCCTCAGGACGCCGTGGTTGTACAGCAGCGAAGCATCATTTGAAATGGCTTAGGTGCTATAAGGCTAATGTAATGTTAATTTATCTAATTCCTACATGCGATTTATTTCGCTTGCTTATAAATGAGACGACACAAGTCGATGGTGGAGACCGTATGCAGTTCGACTTTGCATTAGATACAAATGGTTAGAACGGAAGATTGTGACGCGTAAAAGATTGCCGAGCTGAAAGACCACATCCATTCCACTATTCACGCAAGACGCGTAGTTTTCATGCTCCGCATTCTACGGATTTTTCTCCTTGCTACGTCCTCTCAGCGTAAGCACCGTACACGCGCTCGAAGCGGATTTACTAGTTCTATTCAGTGAACCATCATACATGGGAATATCTCCCACCATTCACGGTACAAACAACGCCATCCATCTTAAGTGGCTGTCATGCATAAATTCAGTCGCACAACTTTATCGCTTTCGAACTCGTACCTCCGTTGTGTAACATCGTTCGACCCAGAAATATCGAGGCTCTCTAATGATCTCAAGCTTGTTTTAATACTATATTCCCCGTCAATACTATAGAGGCCTTTGTGCTCTTCTTTTTCGTCTGTGCATATCGCTAGCATTCCGCTTCAGAAACACTCCTGCTCCGTCAGAGCGGCCATCCATCGACCCGCCAACCGACAATTCGCGCATGTTTACTCTACGAGTGTTTGCAGCCGGGCGACTACGCACACACTTGCCGCGCGATTCACCCCACCACCGCCGTAAGCTTTGAAGCATTGGGCGGTTTACTGACCTTATAATCTGCACAAGTCCACAAAGTGCACGCCCTCAATTAACATGTTCCCTTCGAGGGGTAAATGTGACTTATGTGCAAGTCCGTGAAACGGGACTAACGTGTTTTAATTGCTCTATCTAATTCCACTCTAAATGTGTAGAGCTATGTCCACTCGAATCTAGGCACTACAACAGCAGAATTGAGGTTCTTCGGTTCTGCTAGGTATGCACGTCCATCCATTTTGTTAGTTGTTTAATCGCTCTGATGGAAAGTGTGAAACGCTAGCGGAAGCAGTTGGGCAATTGGTGAACCTCAGGGATACACCTGTGAGGTAAACGAAGCTACGTATGCACATCAGCGGACCCGCAACAATTTCCATTTTGGGCCAATGAAGATAACCGTGCATCCCAACCTCACCTCAGCATCTCAGCCTCAAACGGTCCCAAAACACTTCACTCTCATTTATGGATAAGCCGTTTGCACTTTGCCTGCTTCTACTTCCTCCATCTATGCAGTAATCCAGTCTCTATACTTTTGACCCGAATCTACCACCATTGCCCAGTAAAACATAATGGTACCTGATACGCATCGGTTGTCTCCAGGAAAACACCTGAAACTATACCCATGGCAACTTAAAATGAGCCCCGATTGGCAGCTTTGCCTCCCCCGTTAGCTGGTAAGCGGTCGACCCTTTAAAACACATTGCCTTACGTTTTCGATGACGCGGTTATATCTCGTACTGCTGCAATTTCTGAATTACTTGTGGTGACTTCCTCCACCACTTTGTTATCTTTGGCCTCGTAATGTTTCTGGGATCTGTTGGACACTCACAGTGTACCATTGATTTTGTGTTGTCGGAACTTAGCTGTTTCGCATATACATCGTATCATACGACGCTTCCGCTGCAAATGCACTTGCATTAATGAATACTCGAGTCATCTGACCAGCTTTGCTCTAGGTGTTTGCCACACAAAAGTATGTTGTAGTGTTTTTCTGAGTCACTGAAACTTATTAGTACTCCAAAAAGCCCCTTTGATTTTTGCCCATTAGTTTTATTTGTTGTCCAGGTTCGTCGCAGTATGGTGTTTTCTACACTTCTGAGAAAAATCGGCGATGAATTTCGTGCCGCTCACCTGAATTCGACGGACGTCTCCGATCGCACTGTGCAACCGACTCCTGTAGCCGGAGGTGGTGATGGCTCCGCCTGGCTGCGTACTCACTGGCCTCTGTCTCCCGCTGTCGGTGGCCCATATGTTTCGATTCACTGGCGTCTAGGTGACTACGTCCTCCCTGGTGAAAATCCGTGGAAAAATACCCCATCTCCCGAGCGATTAGCAAACCAGCTTATTCAAGTTCTGTCCCATTGGAATAGTCCCCCAGCTATCTCCATAAAAACAGTCTTCCTCGCCACAGATGGAACGCATGCCGGTTGGTGGAATTATTTCGCATGTTACACCAAACTTGTGGTTTAGTGCCACTGGGTTCTGTCATTTGTTTTTGTTTGGTTATTTATGCAAGTTATGTGTGTGAATTATTCTTATACTTACTTGAACATCATAAGCTTATAACCCGCCGTCGCTTGGGTGCGCTTATAGCGCGATGATCGTGCGCTATATCCGGTACGCGACTACACGGCCAATCAAAAGCAATGGGTAGAACACACAAAAGTAAGCTAGGGAAAGTTTATTGGACGGTAGGAGTTAGCTAATGCTAAAAATAGGGCACCGGAAGAGAGCTAGCTTGGGAGGCTGTAGTTGAGCCTCGAGGCATTTGACGGAGCGCCGTTCGCAGTCGAGTGACGCGCGCCAAAGGCGGATATCGTGCCCATGTTTCAAACAAACGGGAACAGCGTTTCAACAGGTAAACCGCCTAATTCCCTAAAACATAAGAGAACTATAATTTTAATATATTTTATAATAGTTTACACAGTCATACGGGGAAATCTTTAGGTCACTACACGCTTCTTCGGCTGATTGATCTCAGAATCAAAACTCGAAGCACTAAGAGGCGGAAGGTTCTCGGCAGTTTTTGGAATAGTCGCGTGTCGTTATGACGCTGTGATTCCATCGTTTGCATATCTCGTGATCCACTGGGTTACGTTGGATAGCCTTTCACAACTGCCCTCATGCGAACTGAATCGGTGGTTAACGACTAAACAAACTCGGTATCAGCAGCCTCCTCATTTGAGGTTGGCTTAGTCAGCAAACAATGTTGCGCCGGATGTAAGCCCAACTCGTTTGGCGTGACGCACAAGCGCCATGGCTTGTCTCTGACGGTGCTCTATTTTACCACTGCCCGTCTTAAGTGAGGCAGCTCCTTGTCACTTAGGTTCAACCACCGTCTCTAACCTACGATTTACCATAATCACAGAAGTAGCCTTGACTGTCCTCGGTTGCTGACCACATTTCGATCCCATTGGTTGTCCGCAGTCCCATTCCCGAGCTAGCCATTCGCGCGGCTGCCTTGTTGACCCTGGGTTTGAGCCAACAGATATGGATATGGAACCTCGAACGAAACTCCCCTGTCAGGATGGACAGCCAGGGCTTGTCTTCTGCAAGCAATACCCTGCCACCAGTACACAACCCTTCTTTTCTTTGTCTCCTTTGTGGTCCGCTCTTGCTTATTAGTGCGAAGTGGACTTCTGTGTACCTCGCATATATATACATATATATATATATATATATATATATATATATATATATATATATATATATATATATATATGATTAGGCGGCGTCCGTATCCGGATTTGCCTGTCACTGTGATGTCCATGGGGACAGTCACAGGACGCCTGCGCCTACAGAGGGACCATGGGTGGCTTGCGCTGCACCACCCATAGTTCCATCCACACACCCCATATCCGGTGTAAACCCGAAGGAATAAGACCGGGAGGCATGCGAATGGGAGCCACGTTTCATCAACGGAGCCGGCCCACACTCCTTCAACAAGCAGAACGGAAGCATTCCAGCCTAATTGGGAATTCATACACACCAGACGTACACGAGGCGGTGGCTGGACCGTAGCCCGTTCCACACAGGTTGCATGGAACCACTCTTTGAGCCTAGCACCGTCACGAGGACGGTGCACTCCGTCCCCTCCAGCGACGACCAACTGTCTACTGGAGCCAGTATGGACGAGGTAGTGGGTAATAGACAGGTAGGCACCTTGTCAACATTCACATCAGGCGCATCTACACAGGGGAGCTCAAGCAACATCTACTTCTGAAATGCAAGATTATTCATCACGCAGGCAAACGTACCACATACGCAGCCTTATTGGCCAGGATTAGTAAATTGAATGGGAACATACTCATGGTGCTTCTATTCCGCGTACAATTGTGCCTTCTCCGGCACCTGAGAAACCGCCCTTTTGAGTAGTTCACGGAATTCGCATCGATCAAATTTGTCTTGGATTCGCAACACCTGAAATCAACATGAGTTTGTCATAAACTCACCTTCCTCATGTTCTGGTAATATTATTTTCGGTTTGCTCGAATGTCGTTCTACTGCACCAAGTTAACCGTACAAAAGCGGTATGAAGATCCTCGTGGAATTCATTCGGTATACATATATACATAGATTGGCCTCATCTGTGTCCAATGGCATTTCGAATGCAACGTTTGTACATGCGTTTATGCAAACTTAAGTGTGAGCTGTCACAAAGTGGATAGAGACACATTAGACATCATCATCAATGGTACGACAAACGTGTATGGGTTTCGTTTGGAGGTCAGGCTAACAACCACTTTTGCAGGTATGAGAATAACTACCCCATACGAACGGTTGATGTTTTCTTCCACATTTAGACGTGACTGCCTTAACTCTTGGGCATCCATATTTGAAGGAATCCGATGTGGCAATAGTAAAGCAACTGCTAGGTAGAATGGTGACTAGACTATTGGTACAGTGAAATAGTGTGCACTTAGGTGTTGCCCTCTACATGTACAGTCTGGTTTGAGTAGCTGATGTGGGAGATCACACAGCATGTCGAATGCGATACAGTGTCCACTTCTGGCTCTCTGTGTCTCCGACCGGTTCGGTCATGTGCTGCCCGAGGCATGTGCACCTACTCAAAGAACGATTGATGCGCAACCTTTGGTATTGACAAGTGACTTCAACTAAGTCCCGCTGCCCACTGTCAAACATGCGACTTTCCAAACAGTGTTCACATTTATTGTGCAAATGTGTTTCTGTGTTTCTTTTATTAGTATCAAGATAAGTGATCTCGACTGTCATGTATTTTCCCGAGAGACTTTCCTATGTATATACCATTTTCATTTTAAATTGGACGTTTTGCAAACCACTTTTTACGTTTTGCAAAACAAAAAGGACATCTTGCAAACCGAATTGGACATATTGTATTCTAAACAGGAAATCAGCGAGTTGCTATCGAGTACTGAAGAGTATGAGAATAGGCGATGTTCAGACCACATCCTAGCCATGTTAATGCTGCCGAATTATATAAGCGGCGAGTGCTCGTGCAAACCCACCATCACCTCGATCAAAGGCGGTTACTGAAGTGCCCTTCGCGCAGTTTGTGTCTGTGCCTTCATACATGAACTCGTGTAGATGTGCGACTATTGGGAAGTCAGACTTCCGAACCGCGTAGTCTGTTATGACTTAAACGAATGTTATCTAGCTTTGGAGGGTCATTGTGAAGCATTCGTTTCGTGAATGGATTGTGATGCGCGATCTCAATGTGGACCGCGATTCCCACAGAATTAGACCTTGACCAATTCGATCACTTGGACCATAACTGACGAACCAGATAAGCGGCTACTCGGCAGTTCTCTGTTAATATCGGCCTACGCATATTCCCAGTATGTGTGTGGGCGAATCTACTCAGCTGCTCGATTATTGGAAGTGTATGGTATTGTGAATCCACCAAATCCAGTCTAGCTTTACTGGTATACCGCTGCAGTTTGTTATCAAAGAAAGAGGAGTAAGGCGACTGGACGATGTCCAGGCCACATTGTGGGCACGCAAATGCAACAGAACTGTGCAACCAGTGGGCAATTATCGTTCGTCGCTCCTTTTGCTCGTTTCGTGCAGCGCAACGCTACTAAACCGATGCCGGGATTGGCTGATTCATCGAGCCAATAATCGAGCGGCTGAAAAGGTTCGCCCACACACCCACACAAAATACGCGAACGTAAATAGAGGGACAGGGGACAACTGGGTCACCGGTTTTGACGTGAACGGCTCTCATGAGCAAGGGGGAACTTGCACAATCACCCAATGCTTGCACAGCTCTGTCGCAGTTCCATAAGCACAACGTGACTGGAGCATCATCTTGTCGCCTTACTCCCCTTTCTTTTATAACCAAATGCAGCGGCATACCAGTAAAGCTAGACTGGGTTTGATGGAGTCATGATAGCCTACACTGTCGCAGCAGCTTCATAGATTCGCCCACAGACCCACAGTAAATACTCGAAGGCCCATAGAATGACAGGGAACTACTGGGTCACCACGAATGCGGATGTTGAGAAAAGTGGAAACAGTCACCGCCTTTGCTCAAGGTGTTCGAGTATCCCGATTCAGAGCAAGGTTTGCTGTGGCACCCGATGCCTACACAATTCGGCTGTATTAGAATGAATAACATGTGATTTGAACATCGTCTAGTCGCCTTACTCCTTTTTTGTGACTAGCAAATCGCTGCTTTTCTGCTTACAACAAGATGTGCCAAATTTATTTTGCAAAATGTCCACTTTGTTTTGTAAAACGTCCGATATAATTTACAAAAATGTTCGAAGCCGTTTGCAAAACATCCAGTGTATTTTGCAAAGCGTCCAGTTGTTTCCAAAACGTCCAAAGTGGTTTGCAAAACGTTCAATATGGTTTGCAAAACGCCCGGTGGGCTTTGCAAAGCGTGCAAAGTGGTTTACGGACCGTCCAATCTGGTTTGCAAAGCGTCCTTTTTAAAGGGAAAATGGTATGTATCACTTGTTTCGTAGCTTCCAAGTATTTTTCTTTCCTTTTTTGTACTTCTCGTTTGGTGTCTTATTGATCCCATGGTAACTCTAATACCAGCCCTGTCCTCTGCACATTCAAAACATGCAAAACAGTGGAGGATGCGCCGCTCTATATCGCAGTTAGATATCAGTCATGGCAGTCCGCTGCCGTCGCCTATGGCTCCGTGACATAAGTCGCTGATTCGCAATAGCGTTTTCCTGGATGTGTGGTGGCTGTCTGCCTGTGTCTAAATGCGACGAACCTGCAGAAAAACCCACTAAATCCCCCTACTACTTACAAATATATATATATATATATATATATATATATATAACCTTATGCTGAGGATCAGCATTCCCCGTGATTCAGTTAATATATAGCTATGGACTGATAGCGAAACGCCTGAAACATGAAGTTCCATTTATGATTCCAAATAAAAAGATCAAAAGTGGAGGGTTGTTAGATGACACGATCACT